AAATAGCAAGATTCTGAGTTGGCACCAAACACTGCATATTATTACCATTTTTAATACTTGTTTAAAGTTACTTACAGATGTTGACTGGTCCAACTCCTTCGCCACTCAGTCTGAAAGGAAACAATTGAAATAAGAGTTAAAAACTCCTCCAAAGACAATACCCATAGTCATGTTTAAAGTTGCCAGCCCTATGATAAAAAAAAATGCCAAAAACATACAAAATAAAGAAAAACCACCCACACTCTGCTTAAATTTAGACAAAAATATAGCTCGCTGAAGGGACTTCCCAAAGAAGAGGACCTGACCTAGAACCAGGTTATCAAAGGGAAAATTATAATTCACTTTCTCCTCCACCCATTATATGAGAACTAAGAGAGTGTGGGAACTATGAAAATGTATGAAGCAGGTTTTGCCTTTTGCAGGAACTTACATTCTGTGAGAGGACTTGGCATGGACAGAAACACTTCTAACAGAAAGTAGGCAGAGGGCAGTGTTAGAAGATTGAAGAAAACAGAGTAGCTTGAGAATCCAAAGGCAGGTGAATTTAACTTAGCTGGAGGGATCATGAAAGGCTTCATGAAGGAAGAGGTACTTGAAAAATGGGGAAGATATTGATTAAGTTGCTTAATTGTTTGAAGGAGGGGCAGCATCTGAAAATACTGGTGGTGGGAATCGGTTTAGAAAAGTGAATTGGGACCCTTTTGTGTAGGTCAGCTGTATGCCCAGGTGTCAGATTGAATCCAGGTTAATGATGGATAATTATCATGCACAAGAAGTGCTCACTGTGCGTGTGTTTTACATGCTGTAGTGGAGAAGAAGCTCCACTTATCAAATGTGAGGCCATCCCGGGCTTGTGATGTCAGCCCTACGTTGCCCACCTGCACTCCTCGCCCTCCAGCAGCTTGCGGTAGGTGGCAATCTCCACGTCCAGGGCCAGCTTGGTGTTCATGAGCTCCTGGTAGTCTCGCAGCAGCCGGGCCATGTCCTGCTTGGCTTTCTGCAGGGCGTCCTCCAGTTCAGCCAGCTTGTTCCTGGCGTCCTTGAGGGCCATCTCCCCACGCTGCTCAGCTTCAGCGATGGCATTCTGCAGGTTGGCGCACTACTCAGGGAAAGGAAGAAAAGTGGACACTTTAGTAGTGAGCTGGGCCTGTGGTGTCTCTTTCTGAGTTTCCAGAGAGAAGTCAGTACATTTAATCTGATCATTGTAGATGGGGGAACATTGAAACGCTGGTTCTTGTTCCAGCTCTGTGTGCATGCGTGCGTGCATGTGTGCCTGTGTGTGTGTGTGTGTGTGTGTGTGTGTGTGTGTGTGTTTAAAACAAGCAAAATGGGTCTCCCTTTCAGAGCTCAGGCCTCCTCATTGCCTTCTTTTGACTTCTCCTTACCTGCTTCTTGACGTTATCGATCTCCGCTCTCAGCCTCTGGATCATGCGGTTCATCTCGGAGATCTCATGCTTGGTGCTGCGGAGATCATCTCCGTGCTGACCAGCTGTCCGCTGCAGCTCCTCGTACTGGTGCCACCAGAAAAGAGGAAAAGTTCCATTTATATGAGGATGGAAACACTTTCCCAATGTTCATGGGCAGGAGCTACCAAGAGGTGGTAAGCGATGGAGTTATCTGAGGCCTGGGGCTAGTTTCGACTTTATCCAGGTGGACCTGGTCTTAGATAATTTCCTCTTTAGTGCTTTTGCTCTCTTGGAGACACTGGTGTGAGAATCTCCTTAAGGTTCTTGAATTCTTGTGGCAAAGGCATACATGACTGTTCTCATATCTCAACCCAAGAGTTTTCAGCAGGTCTCAGGAGACCTTAGCATTCTGTCGTGGCCTGGAATCCCAGACACGAGTCCATCCCCTAACTCAGGACACATTCACCACAGCACTCACCTTGGTCTGGTACCAGGACTCGGCTTCTGTCCGGCTTCGGTTAGCAATGTCCTCATATTGGGCCTTGACCTCAGCGATGATGCTGTCCAGGTCCAGGGAGCGGTTGTTGTCCATGGACAGCACCACAGATGTGTCTGAGATGTGCGTGTGCATCTGGGACAGCTCCTGCAAGGAGACTTGAAGTCAGTCATCTGAATTTGTGTTATTTTAAGCCAGGTCCATTCAAATATTCCACTCATTGTGGTATGTTAACTTGAGAAAAAATAATAACCACCTACACCAAACATTTAGTTATGTTAATAATCCAAATCATCATTAAATCTATTTTTAAAAAAACTTTAAGCACTCTGAATCTCCAAGAAATGCCTACTGTGTAACATCTCAGATGTGAGTTATGACCCATCTTGGATCATAACTTATTTTAAAAGAATCTAGTTGACTGGTCTGTTACACTGGGACAAGCTAGCGAGGGGAGGTTTGGGAAAGGTGTACTGTGCCTATAACTCACTTTAGACCTCACTCAGCAAAATGATGGCTGAAGAATTTGATTTAAATGTGACTTTGTTTTCTTAAGGATTGGCTTTATAAGTAATAGTGTGAGTAGTGCTAAAGGGATAGGAAGGACAAGGGTGTGTCCACAGCTTTGGAGCCACTGAAAGTCACTTCATCTGGATACCCTAATCCCTGGTGTGATCCAGTGACCATCTCTTTGGGACCTGAGTAGGGGGCACTTCTTACCGCCTCAAAGAACATCTTCAAGAAGTTGATCTCATCCATCAGTGCATCGACCTTGGCCTCCAGCTCCACCTTGCTCATGTAGGCGGCGTCCACATCCTAGAGATACAGGGATGGTTGGCACTACACCCGATTTCCACCCTGACTTAAATTAACGCCACCCTAAGAGAGCATAGCCACAGGCAACAGGTTCTCTTGTACCCACGCACCTTTTTCAGCATCACAAACTCATTCTCAGCAGTGGTGCGCTTGTTGATTTCATCTTCATACCTGGGGATAAAGGAATGGGAAGGCTTATTAGGAGGTGAGGGGCAGGTGAAGCCTAGGGTCTTTATTGCAGAAAGTCACCTGTGAGCCTGCTTTCCCACTGGAAAGGGGCCGCTCTCCTCCCATCATGAAAGCAGGGAGGGAGGGGGCACTGGTAGTGTGACCCTTTGGGAAAGGTCCTTACTCATTAGGATCCTGTTTCCTTTTTAACTGCCCATCAGAGAGTCATTCTATTATTGCTGTAATTCAGTTGCTTGAAGAATATGCCTATAGAAACCTGTGCTGTTTCTTCCCAACTCCACATCTAGTCAATTTCCCTAATTCTTTTTTCAGCTTTCACAGTCTTAAAACAACAAAAACAAACAATTAGCAGCACAGGGTCTAAAAAAATTACTGGAGCCATCAAGGTGAGTTAAGTCGTCAGTTCTCATGTTGGAGGGAATCCATCACACAGCCCATGGTGTGTACTCTGAGTGTATTGGGGAGGAAAGCCCCAAGAGCAGGAATTACACTGCTTGCTATTTCCCCAGGGGCATCAAGCTTGTTGCTCTGGCCAGTAGCTAAGTGCCTTGCATAGGGACTGAGCTTGGGGCTGGAACTTTCTAGACATGGACCTGGGTTTTATTTCAGTACTTCAGGTGTCCATGGAAGGCATATGTGTCTAGCCCGTGGGGAAGGCATAAGCAGTAATCTGGTTATCAAGTACATCTGGTGCCAAGAAGACATTAGTTTCCACTCCACCCCATCTCACTTGTTCTTGAAGTCCTCCACCAAGTCCTGCATGTTCCTCAGCTCTGAGTCCAGGCGGCCCCTCTCCCCCAGAACACCATCCAGCTGTCTCCTGAGGTTGTTGATGTACTGCTCAAACAAAGGCTCCAGGTTTTGCCTCACGGTCTTGGTGCCCTGTTCCTGCAGCAGGGTCCACTTGGTGTCCAGGACCTTGTTCTGTTGCTCCAGGAAGCGCACCTGGAAGGCACAGAGTCTAAAGATGGAGAAACCTGGATTTCATGTCTCAGTGATCATCACCAGCTTCTCTCCCTTCTCATACTCTCCTCCTAAACCTTTCCCATGTGCCGTCCCTGGCGCTGGACCCTAGGCGGGGAGGCACAGAGTGAAGCACCTAACCTCACTCTCCTGGGGAGACAGGGCACTTATCCAGGGCACAGATAGCACTGGGCACGGCTGGGCAGAGTGGGGCCCAGTGCAGTGGTGGCTGTGAAGGCACTCAGGCTACTGCTCGATGAACTCATCCACCTTCCTATGCAAGCAGCCCCATTCCATGAAGCACAGAATTCCTTTCTTTGCCCAACAGTAATCAAGGAGCCCGTATGGGGTAATTACATGGGAAGAACTAAGACCCTGTCTTCCAAGCTGCCAGTCTAGTTAGGAAAGTGAGCCACAACTCCGGGACAGAAACAAGTAGAAACACATTCACTGCAAACTAGGAGGGTATTTGCACAAAGTCAGAAGATGTTTCTCTTCCTACTTTCTTTGGTATTTGCTCCACACTCATAGTGGTTTTTCACAAAGGATTGGGTCCTACCTTGTCGATGAAGGAGGCGAACTTGTTGTTAAGGGTCTTGATCTGCTCCCGCTCCTCAGTCCGCACTCGCTGAATGGTGGGGTCGATTTGTAGGTTAAGGGGAGTCAGGAGACTCTGGTTGATAGTGACCTCTTGGATGCCTCCAGGGGGACAGACGGGGAAGTCAGGGCCACCAGCGCCACTTCCAAAGCCCATGCCTGTCACATTCCCAAAGCTACCAACTCCACGGGACAAAAAGCCACTACTAGTACCACCGCCAAAACCAAATCCGCTCCCGGCTCCACTTCCAAAGCCAAAGCCATAGCCAGCACCGTTAGCAAATCGGTTTCTAATGCTACTACTGCTCATGGAGATCCTCTTGGAGCCCCCCAGATTGTAGAGGCTCCGGCTGCCATAGCCTCCTGCTCCACCAGCACCCCGGATGCTGACCCTGCCAAAGCCACCGCCACCACCACCCCCGGATCGAGACACAGAGGTGAAACTGGTGCGAGAGACAGACGGGGTGATGGCAGAGGCAGCACTGAAGCTGCGGCCTCCCCCACTCCGGAAGGACACACTTGACTGGCGAGACATGATGGCTTGTTCCTGGAGGAGCAAGAGGATAGAGCACTAGAGGTTGGGATGTGCTGGAGAGAATAGAGCTCAGCAGGATGCAGAGGTGGCTCTGTTACCTGGACCTGCACTCCCCCTTTTATACTAGAACGGGGCTGGGCGGGACAGTTGTTGAGCTGTGAAATGATTAAGTGGGCTGGGCACGCCTGGGGGGGCAGCTGTGAGCTCACCGTCACACCTGCACATGGTGCGGGGTGCAAACGCTGTCTTCCTGGCAGGCTCCGCTCAGTTAGGAATAACCCTGCCTTGCAGCACTGATACCTTGGCAGCAAGTCGCACTTCCCCTTGGGGGCCCAGGGCTGGGAGCAGCCCAAGATGGATGCCAGGAAGCAAGGGGGCACTTGGCCAATGTCCCGAGGGATCCTTACAGGACCAGGGGCGTTGTCCACCACCCCAGCACAGTATGCACTGTCCGTGAGTGACGACAAAGTGAGTCCCCACTTGCAGTCATCTGCCCTTCTCACTCTTCCAGACAGGAGGTTGCTGCAAGGATTTTCAGCACTTGGCAGGCACCTATGGCCTGACATCTCAGCTATGAGCTGGAGGAAAATAGAGCTAGTCTTTACTGCAGAACTTCCTTTCTTGGGGGAGGCACAGTCATCCCTGAGCCCTGCAAGGTTCGGGCCAGAAAGGCTCTCTGAGCCCCAAGCTCAGTCCCTGGTTTGTACCACTCTGCTCTCTGCAGGGGCAGACCTCCCTCCACAGCTCCTCCTAATTCATCATTTTCTGTGGCGTTTGACCTTTTCCCTGGCACTTGGGGCTGGGCAGGACCCTGCAGGGTGAGCGAACCCAGGGGTCCCTGCCATCTCTCACAGAAGTCCTGAGACTCAGCCTGGCAGTCACGTCCCTCTTCAGGGGGAGCTGCTCTGCCTGCTCCCAGCCCCCCCAGGTGTGTTCCAGCAAGCCCTGGGTTATGCCAGTAGGCAAGAAGTGAGTCATCGAGTATCTGTTGATACAGGCTGAGGGCCGCCACAAACACATACCTGCAGGAGCTTCTAATCTCATCAGGAACGTGTTGAGAATCCGCCGGCCTGTTATAACGGAGAACCACCCGCTCGAACAGCGGGAACTGCTGCGCTTTCTCTGGGCTCCGGCCCAAAGTCTTCTTCAGGGCCAGGGCAATGGAAAATCGAATTCTAAGTCTTCGGATTGTCCTGCCAGTGAGACTAGACAGAGCAGGTTAGGGGTACAGGGAGCTGGCATAACCACCTGCCCAGTTGTCTGAGGGAGGCCCCTTGTAAGATCCTCTGCAAAGCTTGTTTGGGTGGGCGGTGGCACCAGGTGGAGGAGAGGGGTCTGTTAGGCTTTGGCAAATGTCTGTCCTAAACCACACCTCCTCTTTTTGGCTACAGACCTGAATGGAGCCACCTCTTTGCCTCCCCCAAACAGAAGCAGGACTCTCAGGCAGCTCTTGGGTCATTAAGAGCTGTGGGGGCCACCTCTGGGCTGGGGCTGGAGGTAGGAGTGGGGTGGGAATGGCTTGGAAGCCTCAGAGCTGAGAGGCTATGTTCTTAAGGGTAAAGGAGTGGGGACCCAGCCTGAGCGCTGGCATCTCTAGTCAGGGCCTGTCCTTGGCCTCGAGGAAGGCACCGCTGTGGGAAAATGACTCGGAGCTGCTGGGGCTGTGATTGCTCACCAGGGGCTGTGATGGGAAAGCTGTGGACAGGAAAATCCAGACAGACAGATCGATGGCCCGAGCTACCTTACAGGTTCTGGGCAAGGAGGTTAGGTTGCCTCCCTGCCTGGAAAATTCTTGAGACTCTCAGAGATGAATTTTAATGAGTTCACCAATTTTACACTTTGTGGCCTCTCAGGGAACAGATGTGTGTCTTAGGGGCCCTGAGACATATGAGGGGCCCTTCAGCCCCTGACAGAATCGATTCGAGCTTGAAGCAGGTGTCTGGGGACTCCTAGCATGAGTTCTCTCTCTCCACTGGAAGATCACCCTCAGGGTATGTCCCACACACGCAGGTCCTGGGTGTTGTCCCCACTGCCCTTGGGGAAGCTCCACCCTCTTGAGATGCCGGGACATTTTCTTCTCTCCATTCCTCCTCCTCCCAGCTGTGCTGTGCAAGGGGAAGGACTTGGTGGGACAGGAATGCCTTCCGGCCAGCCTGAGGATCACTAGAGTGTCAGGCTCCGATTCACATGATGGGGACCAATGGTGTGTGGGTGGCAAGGGGGCAGGGGGGCAGCAACACTATTCTGTCCAGCTTTGTGGGAACCCTCCCCCGCAGCAGGCAGGGCAGCCTCTCACACAATGCCAGACCTGGACAGCTATAAACAATGGTGAGGCTCCCCTGGGGGGCGGGGGAGGCACTGCATACTGTAGTGTGGGAGAGTCCCACCCCAGCCTGGAATTTCACTGTGGCAGGAGCAGAGGGATTAAGAATGGAGCTCACCCAGTACCCACAGAGGCAGTTACCAAGACTTGGCAGGACACATGACTTAACTGCATCAGGCATCATTGTTCTCATCCACAAAAGACGAGTGCAAGGCTAAGCGAGCTGTCCTGGCTGACCCTGCAGGCGTCCCAGCAGAGGGGGGCCAGGAGGACTGCGCTGGCCTTCCTCACAGAGGTGCGCAGGGACGGAGAAGAGGGGCAGTGTTTCTAAACAGGGACACACCTCCCAGACCAGGCAGGGAGCAGACTGGTCCAAGCATCCATGGGGCAAGGATTAGGCAAATTCTGCAATGCAAGCCCAGGGCTCCCTCCTAGGATTTGCCACTGCAACCTGCATGCCTTTCGTAGAGGAGGTATGGAATAGTGACACAAACACTTGCTAGAAGGTGGTTTTGTCCATGTCCTCGAGGTCTCACAGGACAGTACACTTCCCAAGGTTAAGGGAGATAGCTGGCTCACCCTCACATGGCTGCCCCTGCACACTGGAGGTGCTCAGCAAACACTTTTTAAATGAAACGGACAGACACAGGTCATCTCCCTCTACTCCCTCTCTAGATCTTTGTGTGAAGCCCTGCCCAGCCCATGCTGAGTCCCAGAGTGTTGTCCCCCTGCTCTGTCCCTGGATCCATGTCCGAGGGCAGGTCTTTTGACCCTTTCAGCCTGGGCACCCTCTGAGGACAGAGTTCACGACTCTTCATTCTTTGGGCTTCCCTTCATTCATCTCCCCCATCCCTGCCCTGAAGCCACTCTGCACCTGAGCCCACTAGGATCCCCCAGCCACCATGTCCCCCTCCAGTCCCAGCCACCATGTCCCCCTCCAGGAGAGAAAGAAAGCTGCAGTGTCCTCATCTTTGCAGATCAAAAGTGGGAGCAATAGCTGAGGCATGAGTCACCTCCTTCCCAGGGCGATGGTTGGCAGCCCCACGGCCAGTGTTGAGCCAGCATCAGCAGGATGGGGAAGGGCAGGTGGAGCAGCACGAGCCCCAGCAACTCTTCACAAAACCTGTGCCTCGGGGGGGGAGTTGAGGGAAGAATTCTTCTGCCTCCAACAAACCCAGCAGGAATTCTGCCTACACCCAGCTCTGGGTCCCAGCTTTTGATCTCGGCAGGATTCTCAGAGTGGCTGTGCCATAGAGGAGACTGGCCCTCTGTGGACTGGGGACCTGGATACCCTAGCCCCGTGGTCAGCAAACTGCGGCTCGTGAGCCACATGCGGCTCTTTGGCCCCTTGAGTGTGGCTCTTCCTAAGCCTTAGGAGTAGCCTAATTAAGTTAATAACAATGTGCCTACCTATGTAGTTTAAGTTTAAAAAATGTAAGGTAAATTGTAAGGAATTTAATTTTATCAATAAATAATATCGTTATTAAGTATGATATCAAGTTTTATTCAACGTACCTATAGTTTAACTAAGACTTAAAACTTTAAGTAAAGTTTATTAAATTAATTTTAGGGAACATTTTGGAGTGAAAGAAGATGTAGTGTCGAGGATTGAGAAAGGTATGTTGAGATGGTTTGGACATATAGAGAGGATGAACGGAAGGAGATAGATGAAACAAGTATACAAGACGAGTGTGGATGGGAGGGTTGGAAGGGGTCGACCTCAGCGAACGTACCTCAATCAGATTGAGGACGTTTTTAGCAAAGGCCAGCTTAGGAGTACCCTAATTAAGTTAATAACAATGTGCCTACCTATGTAGTTTAAGTTTAAAAAATTTGGCTCTCAAAAGAAATTTCAATCGTTGTACTGTTGATATTTGGCTCTGTTGACTAATGAGTTTGCCGACCACTGCCCTAGCCCTCTCTCATGTGCCATGTCTGGCCAAGGCTGCCCTGTGATGCTGGGAACCCCAGCAACTTCTCTAGGACTTTCAGGCCCCACCGCTGCCAAGGCTCAGGCAGGCTTTGGAGGTGGCACCCTTCTGCTTGTTCTGTGGGTCCCAGTAACAAGTGGGCCCTTGAGTTGCATTTTCCTGTGCAAGGCCTTCACACAAATCGTGGGTCACAGCATAGGTTCAAGAGCCAGCCGGCCCACTCTGGGCCTGTCTTGTTCCTTGAATTGTGGGGACCCTGGACACATACTAGTAGCCCAGCCTCTCACTGCAGTTTTCCACTCCGGTGCTGGGAGATAAGCAATCTGCAGGCGCAGAAGGGAAGGGGCCTGGGCTCATCAGAGGAGGCCTTGCAGGCTGGAATTTTCATTTGGAGCTGGCTGGGGTTGGGCAGGAAGGGTGGGGTACATATGCAAGGGCATATGAGGAGCAGCCTTGGCCCCCACCCCTCAGATATAGCGGGCGATTAGCACTTGTGGGGCGAGACTGCAGAGCAGAGCACCCAGCCTCCCTCCAGCAGGTCCCTGCAAGTCTGGGGAATGTTCTTTCCTCACTTGAAGGTGTTTTGCCAATGGCATACCAAAGTCCTAAAAAAATCCCCCGCAGTGGGTTGAAACTGTGGGCTGGAAATCAACAAATACTTTAATTAGTCAGAGGAACTAAAAAAAGTAAATACAGAAAAAAGCCTCTGCCCTTTGCTTTCTCAGGGAGGGTGGTTTTATCTTTCTTAGTAAACGCCGGTGTAGGACTTACCACAGGCCAGGCTCCTACAAACTGTGCACGTATAAACCTAAAATGGTGAATAAGCAAAGTGCTTTTACCATTTTCTTGGCATTTGCTTTGGTCCTTCCATGTGGTGCCTGGCACTCTGGAAATGTGCAGCCTTTCCCTGCAATGGAGAGGCAGGGACATGATTCATTTATACCGGCTTCGATGCCTGTGGTGTTGGAGGCGTGCAAGGGAGTGTGAGTACATTCTTGGCCAGCTCATGTTCCTTTCCTCCCTGCCCATTGCTGCTCCCGCCACCAGAGCCACAACAGGGATGGGAAGGTGGAGGTAGAGACTGGAGCTGCCCTCTCAGAGCCTCTGCTTGGCACACCGTGTCCTTGTCCCGAGTAGCTTTAGGGCAAGGTGCAGGGGACAGAGTCTGGTTCCCATCTGACTTTCTTTTCAGCTGTGGGTGAGCTCCAATCACACGGGGTGAGTCAGTGCAGGCAGTGACTGGGTTAGGGACTGGATAGAAAAGAGAGGACTGCCCCGAGGCGGGAAATGTTGCTGCTCCCAGGGTCAGCCTCAGAAGACCTGGAGACAAACGGACACCTTCCTGGCCCCGCTGCACATTCCTTTCCACGTCGCATAGGCGCATAGACTGCGGGCCTTGCTCGCTGTCCACTGGGACCAACAGGCACTGTCAAGGGCTTGGGAAAATAGGTTAGCTTTGCCCTGGCTGGTGTGGCTCAGTTGGTTGGGCGCCGTCCCGTGCACTGAAGAGTTGCCGATTCCCAGTTGGGGCATGTGCCTGGGTTACAGGCTTGATCCCCACTGGGGGCCATTGGTGTTTCTCTCTTTCTAAAAAAGAAAAATCAATAAAATAGGTTAGCTTTTCCAAGAGAGACATGGCATCAAAGGCAACAGACATAAGAGAGAGAAATGTGTTTTCAGCAATTGTGGGGTGCCATGTACTGGGCTGCCACAGTGGGGGTACAGTAGTGAATGGGACAGGCCTGTTGGGGGGGTGACGAAGGGTCTGAGGACAGAGCTGGGTCTCCTCCTAGATCTCCTTTCCAGGCCCAGGACAGTAACCCATACCACTCACCTGGTGACAGGGTGGACATGGAAAGGCTGGCTTAGGGAATCCTTCTGACTTGGTTTTGGGAGAAACTCAGTGTTCGTAAGCCATCCAAGGCAAGCCATGACCACTGTCCTATGGGCCTAACTGATTCCTCCCCATCTCCTCCCAGTCATGTCCAGATGTCCCTCAGTGACTCATTCATATAGGAAGAGGCAGAGTTCAGAGAGGCAAAGCCCCAACCCCAAATCCCTCAGCGAGGCAGGCTCAGGGCCAGGACTAGGTCTGGTCCTGTCCTGCACGCCATCCATTGTCCTGCACTGCCTTGCCTGGGCTGTTTAGCAAGAGCCACTCTGTCCCACTCCAAGGCTGCATGTCTCTGTCACCTTCAGAGAATGACTTCCTGAGGCCCGTGTGGAAGGCCTGTGTGTATCAGACGGCTGACCAGCGGCTGTCATGGGGGATGAGGTTTTACTGCTTCTCACCTCTCCCTGCCCAGAACCCTGAGAATTTCTGGCATTGACCTGGGCCTTTCCAGGGCGGAGACTAGCCTCTGAGCCAAAGTCAGCACCAGGGCCCATTCCCCTAAGGCGCTTGCCTGTGGGTGCTGACACAGGTGGGAAAGGAATGGGTGGTGGAAACCCCTTTCTATCTTTCCCCTTCCCTACCCCCTAGTCCAACCAACTGATAAAAGGAGTGATAATTCACACATGACTCGGTGTTTGGAAGCCCACCGTCAAATCCATATCCCCTGAAACAGTTTTCAAGGGCTTCCGTCGCCCTCATGCCACCACCAGTCCCTGGGTTTCCATGGCTGATCAGCCTCAACCCTGCACCTCTAGCGAGATGGGTCCATTCACACCCTCACCCCAGGACTTACCCACTCCCTGCTTTCATGCTAGGATGAGGCAGTTACTCGGAGCGCTGGCTCTGTCTCTCTTCTGCTTCTGTTTCTCACTATCTTTCTGTCTTGGCTTCCTTGCCACAAAACATGAGGCAGAGACGCAGATGCATTCTCAGGCAGTCTTTTCCAAATGGCTGAGGAAACGTGTCTGACAATTGCTGGACTTTCCCTAATCCCAACGCAGCTCAAAATATGGCATGCGCCAGTGCCAGGGTGTGCTCTGAGACATGATAGGAGATGACACAGCAGCCGCACTTACATTATTCTGAATGTACCCGGCACAGTTCTGGATGTATTAATTCATTTAATCTTTACAGCCTCATGAGGTGGACCTATCATTATCCCTATTTTACAGATGAGGAAACTGAGGCCCAAAGAAGTTAAGTAGCTGGTAAGTGACAGAGCCTAGATATTAACCCAGGCAAGTGTGGCTCCAAAAGCTCTTGTCTTCACCATAGTTCAGTTACCAAGACCCTGACTTGACCCTTTAGAGAAGGACTGGAACAGTGGCTCTGGTCTCCTGCCAGCCTGTGAGGCCAGAGGGCTTTAGATGCCACTCGGCAGTCAGTGTGTCTCAGCATCTTCCTGCAACCCTGAGGACAGGAAGCTCTACCTTGAGCGGAAGTGGTGGATGGATCCTTAGGGAGACCTTTCCCCTCTCTGGACTGTCAGAACCCACAGACTCTGGAGAAAACTCCAGTGGGTTGGGGTCACCTCTACAACGTTTCTGGCCCTGAACATTGGAGATCACTTACTGTCACTCCTCTCCCTACTTCCCCAGACACAGGGCAAAGGCCTAGGGTCCTCTGTGGCCATCTCTTCCCAATGGCCAAGAAGTGTCTGATGACCACCCCCCAACACCTCATGTGTGGTCCAGAGTCTTGGTTCAGCCTTTTTCTTTCTAGTTCTCATCTCTCCTGACCCAAAACTCCCTATGGCCAACACACCCAGACAGGGCCCCACAGAACTTTACTCTGAATGAGTAGAGGCCACGAACAGGAGAAGATGATAGGGGACAGCCCAGCCTGGGGGTTATTTGGCATTTTTGATCCTTTGGGACGGGCCAAGCTACCAGTGGCCTCATAGGGATTAGACCATCTCCTTACATGAGGCTGCCTCCCACTCTGAAAAGAAATTAACCCCATTTCATTCAGACATGCAGCCTCATTTCTTTTGGCAACATTGGGCCTGATTTCCTCCAGTCCCTCTTTGAAATAAATGGCAGTTGGAGTGCTTACTATGTGCCTGAGATTGTGCTAAGCTTTAACATGCATTATCTTATTCACGTCTCACATTATCCAATGGTATTAATGCACTATTATTGCCCCTGTGTTCTGAAGCTCAGAAAGGAAATGTGTTTTATCTAAGGTCACACAGCTAATAAGTGTTGAACCTGATATTTGATTCCAGGTCTGGTGGTTCCTAGAGCCTATGTTCTCAACCAGAACATAAGTGGTGATGCCCCAGGCACTTCAGGGCGCCCACCACCCCAATAATCTCCACCGGCAGCCCACACATCAAAGCATCCTCAACTAAAGAGACCACCTAAATGAAAACCGTGTGCTCCACTGCAAACAGCTTTGAGACAGGTCTGCCACTCCGTAGCCTCTTTCTAACTAGATGCTAGCCTCTAAACCTCATGCCCACCCATGAAGAAATTCTGGAGGTACCACTAGGGCAGCGGTTCTCAACCTGTGGGTCGCGACCACTTTAGCGGTCTAATGACCCTTTCACAGGGGTCGCCTAAGCCCATCCTGCATATCAGATATTTACAATATGATTCATAACAATAGCAACATTACAGTTATGAAGTAGCACCGAAAATAATTTTATGGTTGGGTCACAACATGAGGAACTGTATTTAAAGGGCCAGAAGGTTGAGAACCACTGCACTAGGGTCATCGTTGCCAGTGTCCCCGCAAGATGGAACTTCATACCTCTCTGGATCTCTGAGTCCCTAGTGTTCACTTAGCCATCAGCCTTCCCAGACAGGGTATGTGCCAAGGAGTGAACAAAGCTCCATTCACAATGACCCTCCTCCCACCTTTTTTTCACCATACCCTGCTTCCCTCCTCAGCAGTCCAGGACTCCCAACCGGTTTCTGAGTTTGTCCCAAGGGCTTGTCTGATCCATCAGCATCCTCACCCTCCAGGCCTTCCCCAGAAGGGGCAGCCTCACTGTCCAGGGCTAGGAAAACACTTGGTGCCTCACAGCCAAAACATCATGACTTATCCAGCCTTTTGGGCAGTCTCCAGCCGCCAGCTGACCTGGGCATCCCAGAGGGCTGGGCCCCCTCAGTCTGGCACCAATAATGGCCTCCTGCAGGTTGGCACACTGCCCTAAGCAGAGAACAATAGCACGTTATGGTCTGCAAGACCTCAGACATAACATGGCTTCATTGTTTGGAGTCTGGAAAATGATCTCACGCTAACCCTGAGAATTGAGGCTATCTCTAGTCCCCGAGTGAAGCATAGCCCTTCTTTGCTCAAGAACACACAGTAGCTACCTATTAGCCTTATTCTCATCTCCTCATTCCTCTGGGTCCCTGTTTCTCACCAACCCTCCTACCAAATGTGGTAGTAGAATAATGGCCCCCAAAGATATCCAAACCTTAATCCCCATAACCTGTGGATACATTTTACTACATGGCAAAGGGAAATTAAGGCTGCAGAAGGAATTAAGGTTGCTAATCAGCTGACCTTAAAATAGGGGAATTATCCTAGATTACCTAAATGGGTCCAATGTAATCCCAAAGTCCTTAAATGTACAGGAGGGAGGCAGAGAGGAGGTCAGAGTGATGCCATATGAAAAGAACTTCATCGTTATTGCCAACTTTGAAGAAGGGAGGAACCATGAAACAAGGAATGTGGGCAGTCTTGGAAGCTGGGAAAGGCAGGGACTCTCCCCTGGAGCTTCCAGAAGAAATGCAGCCTTGTCAACACCTTGATTTTAGCCCACTGATATTTATTTCAAATTCTGATCTCTGAGATAATAAATAACTTTTTATAGCAGCAACAGGCAATAAGTACACCATCTCTATCCAGAGTCTGCTTTGGCCAAGGGAATCTACTCTGCATCCTCCACACCCAGGTTACCCTCTCCCAACTTCTCTTCCCTGCCTCCTCTACCCAGCGCTGCTGGCCCTTCCCGCTTCCTGAATTCTGCTCCTCACAGATCCCCTCCAAAAGCTTCCCATTGCAGAGGCCCACTTCTCATCTCATTTATGTGCCCATTACACATGTTACCACCAGTCCCTGGACTAGGTCCATGGAACAACAGTAAATAGGCTACATTCACCATCTACTGGGGAGCTTCTGTTGGTTGCATGTTTTCCTGTCCCAGGGTCTGTATGCATTCTGGCTTTCTGTCCACAGGTGTTCACAGGCCCCTGAGTCCGCCTTCCTCAGTACTGACCTTTCCCTCCTGACCTCTCTGAATTTCCTTGCTCCAAGGCTTAGCAGGAGCAGTGTCCATTGTGAACTGAAAGGCACAGGTGCTCCCTCATTGGCTGAGGGTGGGAAGGATGCAGGCTGGAGTCAGACCCATCCTTCGGTTACTACTTGATAAGAGTGAGCCATCAAGCCCATTCCTGCTCCATCCTGGGGCCTGGCCTCTTAGGGTGGACCCAGGCTGCTTGATGCAGAGCACTCCACTTTGCCAGGCTTCATTATGCTTCTTGGAGGGGATTGGTCTCTTGGTGGCCTCATTTACTAGCCAGTTGATTTCGCCCATTGCTACCTTTGTCTGCCTTGGGTTCTCCCCCTATCTCCTGCTGTCTGCTACAGATCTTCATGCTAGTGAGGTCAAAAAAAGCAAGATGGGCCCTAACTGGTTTGGCTCAGTGGGTAGAGCTTGGGCCTACAGACTGAAGGGTCCTGGGTTCAATTCCGGTCAAGGGCACATGCCTGGGTTGCGGGCTCAGTCCCCAGTAGGAGGAGTGCAGGAGGCAGCCAATCAATGATTCTCTCTCATCATTGATGTTTCTATCTCTCTCCTTCTCCTTTCCTCTCTAAAATCAATAAAAATATTTTTTAAAAAAGAAGAAAGAAAGAAAGAAAGAAAGAAAGAAAGAAAGAAAGAGAGAAAGAAAGAAAGAAAGAAAGAAAGGCAAGATGGTAGTTTGTAAGGATGAGTCTCTGTGGGATGGTGAGGAATGTGTCCTGGAATGTGACACCATGATTCGTGTCTCCCTGAGGACCTTGTACTGGTGAACAAATGCTGACATTTCCCAGTGGTCTAGCTCCTTGTGAGGGAGGCAGTGGACATCAGCCTCACCTTTATCTAAACAGTCCCCTGAGGGCTCACCTCAAACAGAACAGGCTCTGTCTATCTTCCCAAAGGCCCATAGTCTTCTTGGTTGGTAAGAGCAGAGAGCACTCTTTGTGTTGGAATTTTGACAGAGGTCGATTCCTGGAGGAGAACAGGGTCATGCCTAATGAGTTCATCTCATAATGACCTCAGCTGGGAGCATAAACTAAAGACAGTCTTTCACCTGAAAATAGCTCTGGGCTGCTCAGGAATTCTGCCCTCCGCTTAACCCTATACCCTCATGAGGATTCCCACAGCCCGTGACCTCTCCACATCCCTCCAGGGAAATGAGCACGGGTTACAGCTCTCCCACTGGTGGCACTTGAATGACTTCTATCAGCCCCAGATAGAAGTTGAAGGAGCAGAGTAAGTGATATTTTGGGTTCGCTCCCTGAGGAAACCAATTCAGCATGGATGTTCTAACCCCCTAACAATGGGTTCAGATTACCCAATTGGGCGCCACCTTCTGAGTCAGTGGGACAGGCATCTTCCAAGGCCTCCAGCACCATCAATTACCTGCCTCGTCCTGGTTCCAGGATTCCAGTTGAGCCTCGGGCTGGCAGCAGGTGGGCCACATTCTTCACTCTGATATGCTCAGATCCAGGCTGTGGTGGTTTTCCATGAACAAGAATCCTGACATGTCTGAGGCAGGGTCTGCATCCACAGATCCCCTGAGGGCTGAGGGAAGGAGCACCTTCTTTCACCTTTCACAGAGCCTCACTCTCCCTGCTCTCCTTCACCACACTTCCAGCACCTGGAATAGGCCTTCAACTGGACTATTAAGCATCTTCCCTGGGGCAGATGGCTGGGCCCTGGGAACACTGGCCCCCAGTCC